GATCATACTTTATACCTTTTTATGTTTATCCTTTAAGTTGTAAGCGGATTCAGCTGTCGAATTACCTACATAAAAGTACTTACGGGATAGCACTTCAATGAACTGGTGACCAAATAATTGAAAGATAGGTTACTAATTTTAGCCATAACAAAAAAACGATAACCCTGTATGAACCTTCAGAGCTTATGGCGTTTAATATCTAACTTTTATACGCAATATCGGCATTAACCCTGTCATTATCTTAACGGGAGGCTTCATTCCACTGAATTGCCCAGATGGTATTTTGGAGATTGAATTTGCAGACTAGTTATTACCCCTAATTTGCCTTAATATTTTAACTAATATACCATCTATACATATAAATAAAATTGAAGTGTCTGTTTATAATGTCACATATACCAAAACAACATTTTTTACAATTTTGTCTGTCTATCTGTTTGGTCCGGCTAATCTCTGAAATGGCTGGACCGATTTTGACGGGACTTTCACTGGCATATGGCTGATGTAATAAGGAGTAACTTAGGCTACTTTTATTTTAGAAAAAAAATAAGGTCCCACGATTTTTTTTTTAAAACCAATGAAAAATTTAATAATATCCGATTCAAATAGGGAAGTTGTATACATACGATAATATATATTATAGGCATCATTTACAACGTCAGATTTTAACGACATTATAACATTAAAATACTATTAGTCAGGCTCCTAGCGGCACTTTTTTTTAATTTATTTAATACCATTTAATGTAACGTAGTTTAAAATCAAAAATCATTGATATTTATTTGTGACGATGCAGAAATCAAATGAAAGGTACTAAAACAAACAGCTTACATAGCAATAATTCTATCGTCTAGATAAAAAAGTATACAAATCTCTCTCTCTCTCTCTCTCTCTCTCTCTCTCTCTCTCTCTGCAACACAAGCGTCAACATTATAGAACATAAATATTAAAAACATATTCGAATTAATGACTTGAACAAAATTCATTGATTCTTACAAAAATAATTTATCGAATTGGCCTAATATTTCTAAAGAAGTTCGCAGTAACGCGTTCAAATAAACAAAAAATAGACTCTTTAGCTTTATGTTGGTATTAGCATAGATGGATTGTAAACTAGGAGCAGACGCTTATTAAATTGTGAACATGCAGTAATAAAATAAAAAGTTTTTACGCAAACGATTTACTGTATGTATATCACATTGTAAATACCATTAAATTATAATATATCTAGCGATATTGTAAACTGTCGCAAGATTGTGAATCGTAATATATTGCTTACAATTTAACGCATTATTTTTCGGTAGATTATAATCTATCCAAGTGAAACCGTCAAATTGCGAAATGAAAATTTACCATAGAGTTTCAAAAATGCTAGTTTCGAGATATAAAAGCATTACAATCTCTCTTTCTCTCATGTTGTCTCCTGTACATGGCTACGTAGAAAAGATGCAACATAAGCGATAACATCTGACACCAATGTTTTCTTATGGTTCCGCCAGTGTTGTTTAAATTTTGTAATACACGACCTAGTACTGTGATGTAAGATAGCCTTATAACCTTAATAAATCTATACATATAATAAAATTGTAACCCGAATCTGTACATTAAATATTTTTTGGAAAAACTTATTGAAATAAACATTATTATGGATACAGAGGCCGATTCTATAGTTTTTAGAATTTTTGTCTGTCTGTCCGTCCGTCCTCCGTCTGTCTGTCTGTCTGTTACCGCATCACGGAAAAACCACTGGAGGAATTTTGATGAAATTTAGGATGGTGATAGGTGGTTATCCGTGTCAACATATAGGATACTTTTTACCGCGGAAAAATGTCTCATTCTGACAAAAACTGCAATGTAAGAGTATACTAATATGTAAAACCTAAGAATTTGGTTTTTGGCCATTTTCATATCAGACCAGTAGATTCATAGATTAGCGCGTTCAAACAAACTTTTTAGCTTTATTTATTACTAGCGACTCACCCTCGATTCACTCGGATTTGTACCTAAGTATGTTTTAACGGTTAGTATGGAATAGATAGACTATATATAATATGTACAGAAAAGTAGATAAGTACTTTAAAAAAAATATCCCTTACTCGAGAAATAGTTCATTCCCCATACAAACTCCCTTCCCTCTTTTCAACCCTTTAAGGGATGATTTTCCTCTGTCCTTCCCAGGGTTTCAAACTATCTCCATACCAAATTTCATCTAAATCGGTTCAGCGGAGTAAGCGTGAAAAGGTAACAGACAGACAGACTACAAACAGATAGACAGAGTTACTTTCTCATTTATATTATTCACTAGCATTGCCCGCGGCTCCGCCCGCGTTCAGATAACCAAAAACCAAGTTCTTAGGTTTTACATATTATTATACCCTTACATTGCAGTTTTTGTATTTTTTCTCAGAAATGAGACATTTTCCCGCGGTAAAAAGTATCCTATATGTTGACCCGGATAACTATCTATCACCATACCAAATTCCATCAAAATCCCTTCAGTGGTTTTTCTGTGATGCGGTAACAGACTGACAGACAAAAATTCTAAAAACTATAGATTCGGCTTCTGTATCGATAATAATGTTTATTTCAATAAGATTTTCCAAAAAATATTTAATGTACAGATTCGGCTTAGTTACAATTTTATTATATGTATAGATATGGTTTCACATCAGTATAAATAGTATAAAAATATATATAATAATTAATTAAACTACAACCGAAATTCTTTTTTAATTCTTGTATATTTTATACAAAGTATCTATGACTAAATAATTGCTAGGTCACACGCAGCCACTGTACCAGATGATCGTTAATCACTCTTCCCAATAAACTTAATTTTACAAGATAACAGAAAATCCCGCTCGAATATAATCATTTTCATTGTTTCTAATTTTGCGAACAAAAGCAAAATTAATTTGATGATATTTTTGATAGAACGCTCTGCTTACATTAAATTTAGTTGAGCTTCAAAAATGATTGAATATAACGAATGGGTGGAGGTTTATTTGTTTGTTGTTTTATTTTTTGATAAAATACTTTGATATTAATACAAGGGTGAAATAAGAATTACCAAATTGGCACATTTTTAACCGCCGACGCAAAAACTACGGGGTGTTTGTTATAAGTTTGAAAAGTCTGTGCGTGACATCGTAGCTCCCGAACGGAAGAATCGATTTAAATTTTGTTTTCTTTTTTATTTGAAAGGTGAACTAGTTGGGAGTGTTCTTATCTAATTTTGATGAAAATCGGTCCAAAATGGCCGGCGCTACAAAATGGCGGATTACATATTTTTTCACAACTCCCTCAATATAGGTACCAAATGAAAGGGCTTAACTAGTAGAATACTATACACTATGCTAAATTTCAAATCCAAGATGGCCACCATCACAAAATGGCGAATTACATGTTTTTTTTTTATTAATTTAATTCAGTTATTTACTACTTTTATCATTGATATAACTATTGCTTGTGCCACCGCGTTCCTAAGAATCATAACGTGATATCTTACTAATATTATAAATGTAAAAGTTTAAATGGATGTTTGGATGTTTGTTACTGTATCACGCCAGAACGGCTGAATGGAGCTGGATGAAATTAGGCACAGAGATAGATTATAGTCTGAAATGTGCTATAATCTATCTCTACATAATATATAAGCTACTTTTTATCCCGGAAAAATGTACGGTTCCCGTGGGATAGATTTATTACTGTTTTTCTAGAGGAGAGCGAAGCGAGGGTGAGCCGCTAGTATTTAATACTCTTTGTCAACAGAAAGTCAAAACAGTATTTATCAAATTAGGCTACTAGCAATTTCAATGAAGTTCTCTGCCGTATCGAAGTTCGTATTAGTACGTTCAAAAAATATTGATATAACAAGTAAGGTTACATTTTATATATGAGTTTTAATGAAAAAATAATATATTTGGTTAATTTATAATGAATTGTGTATAAACGTTTATTTATGTGACCTTAGCCGAAAGGAAGGTATTTAAAAAAATAATCATTTGTTTCCCGCGCTTTTTAACAGAGAGGTGCCATCTAGTAGTGACCAGTCATGAATAGTTTGTAATACTGTAAATTATTATTATAAATTATGTAACTCATTATTTAAAAGAGTATCTATTGAATTTCTCGCCGGCTCTTCTCAGCAGAGTTGTTTTCCGAACCGGAAACTTACACACGGAGACGTACACACTGACGATTTCAAAAGAATTAAGGTGATGTTCAAAAAGTACTGAATATAAGAGTACTCGTATGTATGTGTGTAAATAATAGAGAAAATTAATGCAGCTTCGATAAATATATACCATAAAGAATATACTATAATACCATAAATATATACGATAAATATATACCAAAAAAGAAATATCTCGAAGTTTTATTAGTGTCATCCTACACAAGCAACAATTATTTAATGATAAAATCATATTACATAATATATGTAAGTCTTTCCAACTGCTAGTGAGGTTTGAAAACTGGAACAGTAATGAAATTGTGAACTTTTAATTCTTTATTTACGATTCAATATAAAAATAAATATGTTTGTGTATATTTTTATACTATTTTTACACTCTTTTCATAGATATTGTAAACAAAACATAAAATTTTTGTTGTAAAAGTTTTAATATTTCTTTATTCATAACTTTTTTATGACTATTACTGTTTTAATCATGGGAAAAGACGACTTCCACACTTATCACCTCCCTACATTCAGAAACATAGCTCATTCACATACTATAAAATTGATAATAAAACCTTAGCTAAAAACAGTACATTAGGTTTAAAATCATCTTATATATACATAATTATTCCAATCAGAAATTTCCGTCCTCCTTTTTAATAAATCCATCTTTAGTTTTGCAGTTATGTGAAAATAGGACAAACCTACAACATACTTTCGCATTTATGATGTTAGTAAAATTATAAAAGAAAAATAAAGACTTTCTCCTGCCCTTTTACATAATCTTATGTATTAGCCAATGCTAATTTTGTTCTTATCAAAGTAATTTACGTACAATACGCTTCCTATTTGGTTTCCTCAGAGAGGTTCTTAAAATGGGAACTGTAAATCTTTTTGTAGATAAAGTAAAATTATCGTTATTTTTTTTAGAATCTGCTGTTTGCGCATTAGCTTCCGTTAAATTAGAATAACCATCTTTAAACGTTTGATTGTATCCTAAAACACCATCTACAACAGTCGAATTTATTAAAACATATAAATTTTCCTCTTCAATAAAGCCTTTCACCATCTCTATAGTAATATTATTTTGTTTATCTATTTCTTTTGACAAAGTCGTGATCATTTCCGCGTAGTTAGGTTTATTCGTTATGTTTAAGACATTTAAATAGTTATTTGCAATATCTTCTTTTGTAAAGCTCATTTTAACATTTATATCTGTACTATCATGATTAGTATTAGCGTCATTGAGAATTAAAGAATCTGTCATTTGCATATCTTGTGTAGATGTTGTAGTTTCATCAAATGTTTTAATTACTTTATTCTTATCTATGGTACTAAGAATTAAGTTATCTATAAGAGTTTCTAAAGAAAAATTTGCGATGTCCGTCTTATACAGATATAAAGCCTCCATATTAGCACCAGTATCTTCCCGCTTATTTATAAAACTCTTATACACTGGTACATCTATAACAGATTCGACTTCTGGACTCATTGATATGAAGAACTTAGTTTGTTTTATTCTATTGTTATTTTTATAGAGACTGTTAAATAGTTTCTTTCCGTGCAGAAAGTGCCTGTTCATTGGCCATCTTGTCTTCGATACGTCTAATCTATCCCTCTTTGACTTGGATGCTTTTGAATTTTTCACTTGTTCCCTCAAATTATATCTCATTTCCAGTTTTGGTAATTTCTTGTATTTTAACACCAGTTCCTTGAAAGGATTTGGAGTATGTAAAACTTCGTTCATTTGTATTGTTAGTTCTTTTTCTATAAAAAAAATATACGTACTTGTAATATGCTAGCCAGCCGCCATTGTTATATTATAACCCTAGCTATATTCAAAATGCTTTTCATAACTATTTGCGATTAACATTAGTATGTATATCGCACTAAAATTACTTAATGAAGCAAGATAAAAAGTACATAAATGTTAGTTTCCGATCTATATGAATATGAGATTGGATAAATGAATCAAATGAGCCCTTTGAAAGTTTTACTAGTATACAGATCATATCAGCTTCATGGTATAAATTTTAACCAAAGTTTTAAACGTAACTGACAAAATAAAGGACGTTAAAAATGACTTCCAAGATTTTATTACATAGTATAAAATGTATTAAAACAAATATTGAACCATAATATTATAGTTAAAAGTTAATAAATTAACACATTTTTAAGCAAAACCAACCTGCGTTAATCTTACGGTTAGTTACTTCAAATATATCATCGAAGTCCTGATCTTTATCAACTAAAAACATTGAAGATTTAGTCGTTTCATATTGAATACGATTGACTGGTTTAGCAGTTGTTCCTTCTATCTTTCTGTCCGGTCTTCTTAAACAGCCGTTTGGATAACAATAAGTAGCTTGTTCTAAGCACATTTGAACACAAACACAAATTGGTGGTTGATTATGAAACTCTGTGAAAATTAAATTGAAGAATTGTTCTACCCTTGTGGTGTCTTTTGGATTTTCGCATGCTTTCGGTGTCGATAAATCCACTAATGGATATTGGCTTTTGTATGCTGAAATTAAAATATTTAATTATTTAACAAGTACAAACTTTTTTAATATATAGCATCATTATAACGTAATACCCCAGTTTCATCGATATAAGCTCTTCTCTCGTACGTCAGTGGGAAACCAGATAAAATTTTCAAACAAATTTAATTAAAAGTTTAACTTTACGAAGGAAAGCTTAAAATATTCAGTGTAATGGTATTGCAAATAATATTATTTTCACTTACTTTCAAATAATTGAAGGAAAATGTTGATGAAGATGTAAATGGCGCATCTCATAGTGATAAGAATTGTTGGTGCTACTAGTCTAAAATAAACACATCATTTTATTATTTATGTACTAGCGGCTCACTCTCGCTCGCCCTCGGAAGAAAAAAACAAACCTATCCCACGATAAACGTACATTTTTCCGGAATAAAAAGTAGCCTATGTGTTATTCCAGACTATAATCTATCCCTGTGCCAAATTTCATCCAGACTCGTTCAGCCGTTCTAGCGTCAAAGAGTAACAAACATCTCACAAACCTTCACATTTTTAATATTAGTACATATTTTGCAAAGTTGCAAATCCTATTTCGGTCGGACATTAATCACTATTCAAACAGGGAGATTTTTTAAGATACTTTAAATAGATTAAAAAAATTCCAATATTTATTACAGCCACTTAAAATTTACCTATCAAACTATTTTTCACGGTTTTATTTAGATTTTTTGTTAAACCAAGAAAAAATATTAACATATTTTTTTATTATATTAACATTTTATACTTAAATTTCAAATTATAACAAATTACAGTAGGTAATACCCAACGAACAAAAAAATTATGACATGTTGGCTCGATTGTTACATGGAAAACCCTAACTACGAACTAAAAAAGAAATTTTCACATTTTTTAATTATTCATAATTTGTCCTCATTAACTACATTTTCAACATACAGAAAGTGGCCTATATTTACAACATCTAAAGAAAACAATGGCTCTTAAACATAAATCATTTGAAATTCTCTGAAAATGTAAACTTCTACTTACTAAGTACTTGTTATTCCTAGAAGTAAAAACCTCAAGAATTTATTACGAGGGTGTTTCTTAGAACGATCCGTTTATCAATTTCAGACTGTAATAGCGACTTCGTGGAAGCGGAAACGGCATCCTGTTTGGAAAATATAGAAATTGAATGGGATTTGTTTAAAAAAGACGGTAGCCATGTTACTGGTATTGTAAGATAATTTCCCGACCATGTGATGTTAGATTGCTGTATTAATAACTAAGCTATGCCTGCGACTTCACACGGGTTAGTTAGTTTAACTGCGTCGGTTACCTAGTGGCTAGCATGTACGGCTGCAGAAACTAGAGTCCTGGTTTCGAGGCCCGGGTCGGGCCGATTTCAAGTACTGAGTTTTTCTGTTAAGATATTCTTAGTAGTAACTGGAGTAGAGAAGATAGCGGTGTTGCACCCTCGCCTTAGATAGCTCAAAAAGCCGTCCGTCCTGCGGCTTACCTTTCATCGGTCGTGTCGAAGTATCGTCCCATCGGACTTTGAGAGTAAAAGGAATATAGAGTGCAATTGCATCTGCGCGTGCATTTGTGCACTATAACATCTTCTGCGCATCTGGTTAATCTCGACATCGGTCAGGAGAACATACCTAATTAGTTAGTCGAAACCACTTAATCTATACATATAATAAAATTGTAACTAAGCCGAATCTGTACATTAAATATTTTGTGGAAAATGTTATTGAAATAAACATTATTATCGATACAGAGGCCAAATCTATAATTTTTTGAATTTTTTTCTGTATGCCTGTCTGTCTATATAAAAGCAACGAAAAATGAAGAGTTTTAACTCGTTCTTTTCATGACTAAACCAGTCTTATAACGAATGAATCGAAAAAACATTTACATTCAGTAACGTAAAATATTTTTATACTAAAATGTTTTATTTTATCATAAGTTGAAGAATTTATTGAGAGCTACGCTAAAAGCATCGTGTAAAATGTCTTTGTAACAGGGTTTTTACTTACGTAACAAAATCTCTTGAAATTTATTTAACTCTATCCCAAACATAATTTAACAAAGCAAAATAACAAACAAAACATATTATAATTTGCGTTACAAAGCAAAAACTCGGGTCCCTTTTTACTTTGTTTTGAATTAGGATTGTCATCATTATTATAATTTTCAAGTAGTCACTTTCCTTCAGTCACTTCATTTCTACGAGTACCTACATCTCTTGTTATAAAAAAACATGAGGAAAACTCATATAATTCATAACCTTTCGATATACACGCAAAATAGACGCACAGACGTTGAGTAGCGGAAACAAGCCCGAAATTACTATGGTAATTATGGTTGGTTGGTATAGTATGGTATGCCATACCATACCAACCTTTCAATCGAGTATCCTTTTCTTTCCCTAGATAAAAAATGGCTAAGTTCTTCTCGCTCAAATCTCTTAGCCTCCTTGCCTCCATAATATGAAAATAAAAAGAGTAAGAATAAGTTCTAAAATGTAAACTTTTTGGGCCCTTATTAAAAAAATGGATGTACCCCTCTTTGCCTATTATATCTAAAAACGATTGTGGACTGCCGAGCGTTCAACAAGAAGTCATTTGTGGCCCACTGGAGCCCCCTTGAATCATGGCCCCATGCGACCGCAATGGTTGAATTGGCATAGCTACACCACTGTCAGACTATCGTATATACTATGTCCTTCATACTTCAGTTTACATTACTATAGTCTATATTTTGTCGATTTTTCGCCTACAAGAAATGAAACTCTTAACGTGTAAGGACTTTACAAAAACAATTAAAATGGTACAGTGATCCGGATACTAGCGGCAACAAACAGCCAAGAAATTTAAAAAAATATGGCTGTTTTGGTTGTAACGATATAAACCCAATATGGGGAAGCTTTTTTGAAGTCGCAGAAATACATTTCAATTTTATTTATAAATAACTAGCAGAACCCGTGGTTTCGCTCGCGCTAGAACTCATCTCCTATTTTACCTTCTCATGGGATGAATTTCGAAAAATGCTAAAACACGTGTTTATTTAATTTTATTGAAGATCATCAATATCAAGTTTCAATTAATTTTGATCATAAATAAGTTTTTGGATAATGTTATAACGTGTTTTCCCATGGGATTGAGATAATTTCCCGCGGTAAAAAGTAGCCTATGTCACTCTAGAGCCCTCCAACCATCTCCACACAAAAAATCACGCCAGTCCGTCAATCCGTTTCGACGTGAAAGAAGGACAAACGAACAAACAAGCACACTTTCACATTTATAATATTAGTATGGAAGTATGGATGTTTACTTAATACCTATACTTATAATTTATAAATATAGATATTATGTTAACATTAATTTAAGCTAGTTCTTAAAATCGGACTATTTTATAAATGCGAAATATTGTTTGTTTATCTGGAGTACATTTTCTACTTTCAGGTACCTGGAATCGTACCTGAGAGAAGCGAATAACAAAATAAATCGAAAATTTAAAGGAACAAGTTGCTATTATTTAAATGATACTGTCAAAACCATTCTTATTTAAAACTAGAGACCACGCATCTCTCGGCCCTATGTATGTTTTAATTTTTGAACGGAACCCTAATTATTTTATAAAATAAAATTTGCTTAAGTTACTCCTAGTTATGACATCAGCTATCTGTCAGTGAAAGTCCCGTTAAAATCAGTTCAGCAGTTTCGGAGATTAGCCTGAACAAACAGACAGACAAAAAATTAAAAAAATGTGTTTTTCTTATACGCACATGTATAATTTCATATGTATTTAGTAAAAAGCTATTTGACATTACAAACAGACACTTCAATTTTATTTATCTGTATAGATGTCAAATGTATGCGTAGATATAAAAAAGTATTATGTTTTTTCTTTGATTTTCCATTTCTGAATACTCTGCTCTCTGTGTTGCATAATCAACTGTAGTCTATACAAATATTTTATTTGGTAAACGTTAATCGCTCTAGCTTGCCACAAACACTGCCCCTAAATGCCTAATCGACCTTTACAGCCTTTTTATAACTTTCCAGCTTTTGTAACATTATCCGCTATTACCAGCCTATTTCGAAGTTGCCTTCTAAGAACGATATACAGTTATGTTATGTAAATTGTTTTTTTTTTAACAAAAAATGCTTTCTATATATTTTTTCTTTGTTTTTATTTTAAAGGAAAATTGGTTATTAAATGAAATATTTTTTATATATGGAAATATTATTACAAACTAGCGATTTAACCTCGCTTCGCTTGCCAAGCAACAAATCATCACGTACCTCTGGGCGGTAAAAGTCATGTGTAGAAGAAGAAAAAGACTTTCTTGTTCTTTGTTTGATGATTTCCGGACATCTTCCCCATCCTCTACTCTCTCTTCTTTTCGTCTCCTTCCTTTTGACTTCCTCTGATAGTAACACACTACTGCTATTCCTGTTGTAGCGCAGGTATATGTATGTATGGTATACTAAAAAAAATTTACAAATAAACTTAATTATATATACAGCACAAATGCACACTTAATTATTACTGTACCAGTCAGGTCCGCGGGGAATATTGGCAAAAATACTAGCCGCATTAATCCATACTTAATATTATACATGTGAAAGTGTGTTTGTTTGGCCGTCTTTCACGTCAAAACAGAGTTACGGATTGGCGTGATTTTTCGTGTGGAGATAGTTAGAGGGCTGGACAGTACATAGGCTTCTTTTCACCACGGAAGATTATCTAATTCTCACGGAAAAACACTTAATAACACAATCCAAAAAAAAATATTTATGATCAGAATTACTTGAAACTTGGTATTAATGCTCTTCATTAAAATGAAATAAATACGTGTTTTAGCATTTTTCGACATTCATCCTATAAGGAGTTAAATTGGTTGAAAAAAGTTTGTATGAAACTACCTTTTTAGCGGTTTTTTTATAGTTTTAGCGCGACCGAAGCAGCGGGTTCTGCTAGTAGGTGCTAAATAAATATACTACTACCTACTACCGAGTGAAGTGAGTGTGAGAGTGAGTGAATCATTTCTAACATGATCACCAATTGAATTACGGTGAAGGAAAACATCGTGAGGAAACCTGTATGTCTGAGAGAACCTTGCAAGTTTTCGAAAGACATGTGAAGCCCCGCACTTGACCAGCGTGGTGGACTACAGCTTGATCCACCTCGTACTGAAGGGAGGCCCGTGTCCAGCACTGGGACGTTAAAAAGGGCTGAATATAATACTACTAATTTATATACTTAATTATTATCTTAGTAGTCTAAATATTATTATTTCACACATTTAATCACAGTTATAGATATTTTCTCTAACCGTGCTCTACAATACCAAGTACAATCAGGGCTCAAGTCAACAGTTGCTACTTAAAAAGAATAACATAGGTCATAGGCTAAAAAGTCGGAATAAATAAGTATATTTTTTTCATAATATAAAACCCGGATGTCAAAAGGCTAAGTAACGTAAAATGTAATTAATACAGTTCCCATAGGAAAAAAGTTTTGAAATAATTAATAATTTAACCTTTGCCTTTGCCTTACCTTTTAGAGTGGCTGTAAAATTTCGTAATATGAACACCAAACTTGACTTTATATAAAGATATAAATATTAATTATAATTGATAATAAAGAGCTGTATTAATGTGGCTTCCCTAGGTGATTCGTAAAGAGGGGTTATTAAGAACGCTATTACAAGGATTCCTAAATATTTTTTACTGTAGATTTTTTTTATATTAATTAAAAATTAAAAAATATATATGTATTCAGCCCTTTTTTTAACGTCCCACTGCTGGGCACGGGCCTCCCTTCAATACGAGGGGGATCAGGCCATAGTCCACCACGCTGGCCAAGTGCGGGTTGGCGGACTTCACATGTCTTTCGAAAACTTGCTAAGTTCTCTCAGACATGCAGGTTTCCTCATGATGTTTTTCCTTCACCGTAAGGCAAGTAGTAATCATGTTAGAAATGATTCGCACATGAAAATATCGGAGGTGCGAGACCCGGGATTTGAACTCGCTTCACTCGGTTTCCCAAGAGAGCGCGTTACCACTGGGCTACCACTGCCTAAAAAATATAAATATAAATAAATATGTTGGGATATTAACGGACAGCACCATCTAGTTCCATGGTAAGCTATGAGGCCTGTGTTATGGATACCAAATAGTTGATACACTACACATATATAACTTTAAATACTTACATATTATAAATGTAAACACCCATGACTAGAGCAAACATTCGTGCTCACAACACAAAGGAATGTCCCCAGCGGGACTCGAACTCGCGACCGCTGGCACAGCAAGTAAGGTAACAAACTGAGCCAAACATGACGTCAAAGTTTGGTTTTAAGAGAATATCCACGTATGAGAATGAGATATAAGTTCTAACAACTTACTTCTAATTTCAAGGCGAAATAATTGTTTAGTTGTTTATCGTTAAAGACACTGTCAATTTTAAAATAATTATTCACTGAGTAAGTTTTTTTTTTTGAACAAAAATGAACACAGCACCAAGTTTTTATTTCTTTTAATATGGAGGAAAAGACAGTAGTAGCGCTTCTTACGGCATCAAGTACAAACTTTTTTTTTTAATCTGTTTTACAGAAATCAAAGGTTAGATTAGATAGCCTATTAGAAATATTTATTATTTAACAATCAAAAAAGTAAAAGTTAGAATATAGAATATTATAATATTTATATATTATTATTATTATTTAAATTTCAGTTTATTTTAGTTAGATCTATAGTATGGAAATTGTTCTGAGAGACTAGATATTTAATGTAGCATACATTTTTTAACAGTCAAAAAACTATATGAAACTTACGTCGCAGATTTTTCTTATTCATACACATACATATAAATCGAAACAAACGAAAAGAACAAAGAAATACGCTGCTCTACTTAGAATTTTCCCCGCCCTATGCCCAATTATTGTAACGTAGTTCATAAAAATATGATGAAAAACAATAAGATCGTATAATTGGCAATTTTACGGGCAATTATTGCCGAAAGGATCAAAATCCATGGTTAATTTCGTAAACCAATAGAATTTACATTTGCTTCCTTTATTGTGAGTTAACGCTAACTTAATATCAATTTCACAAATATATTTACGATATATGTTTCAAATTGTATAAAGAAAATAAAAAAACTATATCCTGTGCATATAATTTATAAATGTACAAAGAGAATGATTGCGCCTGGTAATAATATAAAAAATGCAAGTTAAAAGTACTTTTAGTTGAAGAATTCCTTTGGTCTTACGACAGCATTATTAGACAGTCCCCTGTACCATATTATTGTTTTGCTCTTAAAAATAACCCTAAAAATATTTAGAAGAAAAACAAAAACAAAATTAATTAACAACTAATGTTTTAAATAAAACTATCTTTTCGAATTATTTCGCGGATTTATTTTGATTTTTGGTTCTCGACGTTTCGAATGCTTTACAGCAATCATAATC